GATATTTACTAATTGCCTACAATATATCATGCTAGAATATAGAGAATCAGTAATGAGGAAATAATTTGGGTGTCTACATTCATGGAATTTAGAGACTAGCAAGAATGACCAATAAACTATCAAGTATAAATAAATGCTATTTTAGTGACATGATAGAGGAAATAAGAAGTATAGGATGCTATAAGAACATGTAATGGAAATACATGTTCTGGGGAGGGAGAGTCAAGACAAGCTCCTTGGAGGAAGTGATGCTTAAACTCAATCCTGAAAAATTAGACAATCATCAGTTGGGAGTTGGGATGAAGGAGAGAGATGAGAAAAAATCTGTGTTCTAAGGGGAGGGATCCGTGGGGTAAAAAGGCTGGAGGTGAAAACAAAATGACAAACTTGAAAAGGCTAAGGAAATTAATTCTAGCTGCATGAAAAAACTGCATGGAAAGAGAGAACTGGATGGGCAAGGAGGGGGCAAATAATGAAATTCAGTGAAAGACATGCTAAGAGAATTAGAATTTTTACCAAGAGCAGTGGGAAATCACTAAAGGGTTTTTAGGCAATGGTATAGTAAGATTTGTGATTTAGAAAGAATGGCATGGATACAATGTGGAAAATGTGCTGTAAGAACTCAGAACTTTCCTTATCACTGCCATAACAAACTCTACTGCTTTTAGAATCCACTTTCTACTTTCCATGAGTGTAGATGCATTTCTTGCAATATGGTAAACTGGAAAATCTATAAGCCCTCAAACTGCAAAATCCATAAGCACATTGGATAAATATAAGAAACATTTTTAAATACATGGTAGGTCAGAAGAAAGCATCAACATTTCAAGGAGATTTGAAAAAAATAAAGAGTAATTCAAAAGTTAAGAGTGAACTAAAATCCAGAACTGTAAATACCATAAATACCAAGTTGGTGGGATGCATAGGTGAAGTGTACTGTTGCTCTAACCAAGGGCCTGATGGATTACCTGCCTTGAACTCTTGACCCTCCCCTGTAAAACTAGGATCCTCAAAGGGGACACCTTCACACAACACGGTAGGCTATAAAAATGCACCCACCAGAGGGAAATGAAAAGGTAGCACATCTGTTCTTCTAGTCTGGTTCTGTGAGCGAGAGGAAAAGAAATCTCTGCTAAGAATTTGTAACCATAGTCCTGACCTCAGTCAAGTTTGGTGTTTGAATTCCCACAAGATGCTGAATCCAAATCTCGAAAGCTTGAAATTAATATAAAATGTTGGCCAGTGGCTAATAAATCTTTAAGACTCTTGATAGCATTAAATGAAAAAGTCATTCTTAAAGGATACAGCCTAAACCCAGGCAATAAAAGACAGCCTGCAGAGGATAAGCAGTCCAAAGTTAGAAAGAATGTAAAGAAATCATCCACTGAGAGCAAGAATCAGCAGATACTATAAACAGCAGATAAGACCTTCAAGACTTCAGAACAATCGTATATAAAATACTAAGTGTATTTAAGTGATTTAGTATATATAGAAGGGAATGACAAACCTAAATAAAAAGAGCAAATACAATCAGAAAAATCCAGGCAGTTTTGAAAAAGAACCAAATAGAAGTTTTAGAAATTAAAAATTTAATCAAGAGTAAAAACAGAAAATTAAATGAAGCTGAATACATGATTAGTGAATTGTTAGGCAGTGTTGAGAAAATTACCAAGAAAGCAATGACTATATAGAAGAATAATGATTAATTTAGGGGATATAAAATCTATAGGTGGAATAGAAAATCTAAAGGTGGAACTAACATTTGATCACAATAACATGGAAAACATGATAAGAGTTAAGAAAGAGAAAGCATTCCAAGTCAGTTATATTGGTTGGAAAGAGAGCAGCAATTCTAATTTTTTTAAATTTGCTTAAATATATGTGTTTAAATATTAAGGTTAATAAAAGAAATAGATAATCTCATTTCAATGGAAATACATAATTTCCAAATGAATAAAGAGATTAAAAGACAAATTCTGTCAATCCAATAGAACACATAAGAAGGAAAATACAAGCACAGGAAAAACAGCATTAAATAAAATGTTCAAGATAGATAAAAACTGATA